CTTTTCCTCATTATTTTAAAAAATCCTCGGGTAGATTTATTTTTGTTACAAAATGTTACCTTTACAGATTTCTAGCTCTGCACACTGTAGAAAAATCTAGAAATACAGTTTGTATATCGTAATAATATTAGTAGTTGACAGAAAGCTCTATAAAGTACAGAAAAATCTGTAAATTTGAAAACTATAAACATAAATTTAAATTTCTCAAAAAATAGATTAAAAAATATCAAAAATCGCTACTTTTGGCTGATTTGTCTGAGGTCTCAGCTACCTCACTACATCCCTCTAAAAGTCGCCACAGTTGGGAACACTGGTGAGCAGACATCTAGGGTCTAAGTATGGCAAAATGTAATCGCCAAACCGCACTGTAGAAAGGCGGAAAAATTTACAATTTAAAAATATAATTTCTTGTGAACAGCAGTTTGGGCCCCCCTTCCAAATGGGCCCTGTGCGGGTGCACCTGTTGCACCTGCCTAGTTACGGCTCTGCTGGTGTGCTCACCGACTCTAGCATTGAGTTTAGAAAAGTTTGAAATATATAAATCTAGCCTTACTGGCAAATTTTTAAATTACAAGGATGCCACAGTTGTATCATTTACCTGGAAGTATATGATCAAAAACAGCTCATTAAAATCTAATACTTAATGCACAATTGATATAATTCTATATATTATGTTATTATATTTGTCCTTTTATTTTATTCTATTTATTTTAATTCATTCAATTTCATGTATTTATAGAGTTTGTTGTGTTTTTGTATATTTTGGTATTTTAACATAATGTTCAAGCCTCTTTAAATTTGAATTTGTTATTGCATATTTGTTTGAATATAGAATGATTGTAAAAGTTCCAGAGAATTGATAACCTGACGATGGCCCATTGATCAGGTTGAAAACATTTGTTTAAAGCAATAAACATGTTTATAGACCTGGTAAAGTTAAAAAGAAAAAAAAAAATGACGCATGCTGCAATAATATCAGAGAAGCTACATGAGGCTGCAGAATGAATTAAAAGTAGTTTAGCAACTTTGCATATAGAAGTAATTTCTTTTATCTGAGTATAAAAACATTTTAAATCAAAGCAGTTTACATCCAAAACTAGGAGAAATGTCAGAGGGATATGCCAATTGTAACAATCCTGATCCTTCCAGTATATTTTTATCACATGATGCAACAAGATATGTAGGTGATAAGCACTTAAAAAGTGTGCATAATTGTTGAATGGATTCAAACCTAATAGTTAATTGATTAATTATTAAATCCACACAGTTTTTTCACAAATGTTTTTACAAGTTTTTATTTAGCCTTTTCTAACTTGGCACCCTCATGATTTGTGCACCTGGAGCAGGTTGCTCCAACTGCTCCATGGTAGCTACGCCTCTCTTCTCAGCAATATAAGGTGTGTGTGCCATGATACATACAAATATTATGAGTAAAAACATAAATATAGCAAAATGGCTATAAAGAAAACTAAGACTTCAAATAATGTTTTCCTAGCATGTGACACCACTACAGAATCTTAATTGTGGTCTCTTTCTTAATACATTTATAAATTTCAAAACTTTCCAAATATTTAAGTTGTCTCAGAGCTGAAATGTGATGTAGTAGGCATGCTGTATCAAAAGAAATATCAACATCATAGTCATGTGTTTAATAATTTTCTTTTTAATTATTTATTCTTATTATCTATGTTTTATTTAATATACAGTATTTATGTTCCTGTGCATGTGACTTGCTATGTAAATTTGTATTATTTTGAATGTTTATAATTTCAAATTTGCTTTCTGTTCTATTTATTATATTCCACTTTAAAACCTGAAGATGGCCATTTTAAATCGTCAAAAGCATTTATCTGTTAATAAATGTTCCATTTTTATCAGATTTAAGGTTTTTTGATATTAATTCTAAAATAATAATGTGAAATGCGTGGGAAGCACTTTTCCTCTTCAAATTTTTTAAACTTTCCTCTACATCAAGAAAATAAACACACAAAGATATTCAAACCAAATTTGTTTATAATTATTTCCTTCAAATACAGTGATAACATTAAGGATTGGCTAGAAACTGATCTAGGAAATGTTCATGATAGGAAAAAATGGAAAGAAATGGTTCATCAGTTGCAACCTTCTGGGAAGGGGATGCCACAATAATAATAATAAATTAAAGCAATTTAATATGTTTTGTAATGTAATGACTACAAATTTAATAATAATAATTAATCTTACCACATATAAAAAATTTACAAATATTGTACGTAGATATGATCAGATAATCCTTTCCTTGTGGTTTCACTGTAAATTCAGCAGGGATATTAACAAGTCCAAACTGATCTCTGTATTCTGTTAAAATTGCACTGTATTGCCATTCTTGATGACTTCCACTATCAGATATAATTTCAAATGTTTTCCTAACATAAAAAATAAATTATTATTTTAAATATAAACTATAAAGGTATTAATTTTTTAAATATTTTATATTATATTTTAAATTAGTATTTGGAAATATAATTAGATTGAATATGCTATCAAGACACAACACAAGACAGATATGTAGTTGGTTTAATGGAATATGGCAACAACATGGATGATCTGCCACAGGGGATGTCTTTTGAAAGGACTTTCTATGGGAAACTGGCTCTTATTTAAGTGATAGACATCCAAACAAAACCTGAAAACTCCACATGGCCAGCTTGTTGGTGAGACACAAATCTCACAATTAACTACCAGTATTTTTCTAGTTTTATCCATTTGGCCAAGGATTGTTCAAAAAGTAATGCACCATAATTTATATATAGGAAATGGAGACTGTGACATGGCTCTGCTTTTGAGGATTTGTACTTGGAAGCTTTTGCTTATATTGTGCAAAATTTCAAATCATGTCATCAGACAGAGCACTGCAGCTTTGTTGAAAAATGGTAAGTTTCAATGACGTACATTAACAAGTGATTGTATGGTGTCTATGATACTGCAGCTATCAACCAAAGTATCATCAGTTGTTGGACAAAATGAGTGAATTCAATAAGAACAGGAATGACATTTCTCCACGATTTGGCTCATCCTGCCACAGCTGTCATAGCAGCTATGACGCAGTGTGTCTATGAAATGATTTGGGAGGAATGACATTTTACAGTCCAACAGCTGAAAGAATGTTTATCCATTAGCTTAGGGAATGTTCACTAAATCATCCATGAACTTGGATATGCCAAAGTATGTTCACGATGTATCCCAGGCAGCTCATGACCAACCAAAAAGCAACAAGAAAAACCACTACATCGGTACTGCAGCAGTTCTTAGCCTGTTTCTTCCCCACAAATGGAATGTGGATGCACTACTTTGAACTTGAAACAAGGTGACAATCATTGGAACCATCCCCATTCACTAAAGAAGAAGAAGAAGAAAAGGAAAAAACGTCATTCCATCAGCAGGAAAGGTTATGATCACTGTGTTTTGGGACATTCATGGTGTCTTTTAATAGATGTCTAAAAGATTCACCATTAACTCAAAGAGAACTACATTGACACTGTGAAATTTGAAGAAATGTTATCAGTGTATCAGACATAAGAAGAACCTGTATAATGCGCTTCTTCAGCATGATGTGAGGCTGCATATAAGTCTACAGACTCACAAGGCAATCATGAAACTGGATTTCATAATATTGCTGCATCCACTGTACAATCCTGTTTAGCACTGTCAGATTTTTACCGTTTTGGTCCTTTGAAAAATACACTTCATGTGATAAAGTTTCAGTTAGATAAAAATGTGAGAGCGGTGAGAAAGTGGTTGCTTGCTCAGGATCAGGACTGGTACCGAACTGGAATACATGCCCTTCTTTAATGCTGATGTATAGTCAAAGACAAGGATGGAGCCTCTGTTGAAAAATAACATGAATAGCTGAAAATAGTAGCTAGATGTTCACTTTTCACATTGTACTGTATGTGCCATACTTGCAACAAGATACATTCTGGTGCATTACATTTTGTATAAATCTTGTACATGATAAGCATCAGATTTTTTTTAATGAGATGAGAAATTTGAAGAAAGTCGTCAGGATTTGAATTGAATTTAAACTCAAATCTAATAGTTGTAGAAATTTATCATTCTGGTTTATAATAGCAAATGTGATAAAAACCACTAGCCTACTTCTCTGGAGATCTGTATTTGAGTCCTGATTGACTTGGAAATTTTTGGTTTATCCACACCATCCATTTGTCAGGTAAAGCCTAAATCCAGCTGAATGTTTCTTAATATCTTAATATTAATAATCTTAATATAAAAATAATCTTAATAATCTTAATATAAAAATAATCTTAATAATCTTAATATAAAAATAATCTTAATAATCTTAATATAAAAATATAAAAAGAAGAATGTTTCTTAATATCTGTTGTGGGTTTGGCCAAACCCACAACAGATATTAAGAAACATTCTTCTTTTTATATTTTTATATCTGTAAGATGTAGTTAAAAAATATCATTGTGATTAAAATTTTCAGAGAAGATATGCAAGAAGGAAATAAACAATACAAAACATTTAAAGAAATCATTAGTTCAGTAATTTTTCATTGAATGCATAAACAAATATAAAGAATAAACTCCATCTCTTCTAACAGAACCCAATATTGATTGGAGCATACAAATTAACCATTTTTTAACACTTTCAGGCAGCCAAATAGATCATCAGAGAAAATTGTGACCAAACCAAATTTACAAAACCATTTAAAACTGTTAATTTTGTAGAAAAGTTTGATTGCAATTTTCTCTTGATAAAGACTTGAGTTTCTGAAAGTGCTACAAAAATAGTAGTTAATTTAATTTGTTCACTCTAATAAAGCAGAAAATTGGGTTTAGTGTAAATGAATTTATCAAGTTTCATTATGAATGATAGCTTATTAGAATTCATAACAATATAGAAAATAAAAATCATTCTCATCAAAATTTTGAAAGTCATAATTGGAATATGAAATGAATGGCAAATTTTTAATAGATTAAACTACTCAAGAATAAATTAATTTAAATGTAAATACAAGGCATTTTTCTAATTTTAATTATAAAAATTAATAATATTGATATATTATTAATTTTTATAATTAAAATTAGAAAAATTAATAGGAAACAGAATTTGGAGTAACTATTCCATATAAGATAAAATCCACTTAATGTAATTATTTTGAGACTTGTCCATACTGATGATGATAATCAACTGATAAAGTACATTCCAGTATGCATCAAACAGTACATTGGTGAACAGCTATGTATCAAAATGTGTTCTGATATTCACTAGGAAAGTCGTCAGTGCAGCAACTGACGCACATTGCATTTCTTGGACTGTGGATACGATGAGCTCTGATATGGCCAACTCCATGGCTATATTATTAACACCATTTTTACTACTAATCTGTGTTAACCCAAAGTTATTTTGACAAAATAAGACTACAAATATTTGCTTCTTCCATCTCTTCATGTTGTCAGACATTTCAGTAAAAGCTTATTAAACTATTCACCAATGCATTGACTGTGGTTGGGACTGATGCATACTGGAATGTACTCATAATGTGGAGTAAGCAAATAAGACTATAATTAGTGAAAATTCTATCTTGAGTCTGACAGTAAAAGGATGTGTTAAAACAAAGTTCTGTGATTTATGTATCAATGTGTATAAGTTCAAATTATTTATTGATAGTTGTACTATCATCTAAATTACAACCACAGTCAAAGCATGAAATTTTTATTTATAATGCTTCTGTAACAATTAATCATATTAGAAAATTAATTTTTATAATATTGTTACAGAAAATTAATTGGCCCACCAGTGTCCAAGTGGTTCCATTCCCTGAACACTGGGAATTCGGTCGTGGGTTTGCGCCTCACCAGGACAAGCTGGCAATGTGGAGTTTTCTGGGTTTTCTCCACGTCTGTAACATCTGAATAAAGGCCAGTTACTCTTAAAAGACCTCCCGGAAGGCATTACTTCCCATGTATCACTGATTAGCCAGAGAAGGCAATACAGAGCCTGATGACTCTGGCAAATCCTAAATACTGAATTAAGAAAGAGTGGTCACCTGGCTGTAAAAATGAAGCCAAATTGGATAAAAGCTATAATCCCTTGGAAAAAATGGGATTGATAATACTGGAAAAAGAGAAATAGGAAGCAGATTGAAATATTCAGTACATTATAGGTGAAGTTACAAAGTACTTGTTATAAACTATTAGAATGAAATACAAGTACTGTACATTATATAGCTATTTACTTCTGTTTTATAAAGTTTTTCTTTCTATTAAAAATGTTTTATTGGGCAGCAATTTTTAACTTTGCAGACCTATGAATTCCTACTGGTATCCATCTGTCTGTCTGTCTGTCCTTTTTTAATCTTGAGAATGAAGTTAGAAAGGTGAAAGTAGAGATCAGATATGAAAAGCTAAGGGGCATGAGGCCTTGATTACAAACTTCCAGTCCAGACCATTATTTCAATAGAAAAGTTTTTCCCAGAATGAAGTTAGATAGATGACGGGCACGACTCTGTTGTTTATCAGGAAAAGTATGATGTACAGGGGCAAGACACTACTAAACTTGAGAGAATATATTTTATATTAAATAAATTAAAAATTGCAGCTTGGCATTTTGATGATGTCACAATAACTTTGTCTATTTTGTCGATATTTAATTTCTTCTTTCTTTATTTATCTTGTACCTTGTGCATTAAATTATCTAATGCATAAAGCACTAGATAAACAAAAAAAAACTGTGCTGAGAAACATTTTTAATAGTAAGAAAACCTCCATAAAGCAAAAGTACAATTTGATGTTATCAAAGTGGTATAATAGTATAAATTGCATAAGAATTTTCCTATATACAATGCTCCTGTTTAAGAAAATTTTCCAGTTAAATAGACAAAAATTCTCCTCCACAAATGGAAAACAGATTTGCTTAAGTTTTCAAGTGCATCTTATCAAAAATTTTATACATTTAATTGCATATGGAAAAACTAAGTATAAAATTTTGTGTCATTTTTCACGTGACTTTGAATCACTTTGAACATAGATTTTACAACTTTTTTTTTATATGATTATCTGGCAATTATATTGTTCTTGCAGAAAACACCAAATTCTGACAAGATCTTTCAATACACGAATGATACTGTTAAGTTTTCAGTAAGTTTTAGTGTGATATTTGTAGACCTGTAGTTTTGTTTGTAGGAATCATAAAACATTTTTTCCTCACATAACAAAACCAATAAATATAAAGACACTAAACATTCCTTTTCTAGCAACTACATTTAATCAAAACAAACATTTTTGGCCTGGTTGATAAGTCTTTGTTAGATTTTTGAAGAGAATCTCTATTTAAAAACATTAGGGTGTAAAAAGTATGTAGGGTGTGTTCAGTGTCTATATATACTGGTAAAGTTCCG